TATCACTTCTTTCTGGTCACTATTGTTTCAGATGAGAAATCTGCTGTCATTTGAATTACTGTTCCCATATAGGTATTATGTCGTTTCTCTGTCTGCTTTTAAGATATTTTCTTTGTCTTTAGTTTTCAAAGGTTTAATTAGGATGTATCTTGGCATGAATTTGTTTAGATTTATTCTATTTGAGATGTACTTAACCTCTTAATTTCTAGGTTTGCTTATTTTGCCAGATTTGGGGGATTTTCAGTTATTATTTCTTTGAATACTCATTCCGTTCCACTCTTTCTACTCCCCTTCTAGGACACCAGTGCTATAAAAGTTGGGTCTTTTGTTAATGGCCTCACAGTTTCCTGTGACTGTTTTCAGTTTATTTTCTTTCTGCTGTTCAGATTGCATATATTCCATTGATCTGTCCTCTGCTGATTCTGTTCTCTGTTATCCCACTCTACTACTAAGCTCATCCAGTTAGTTGTATTATTTCTATAATTTTTCAGTTCTTTAATTTCCATTTGGTTCTTTTTTTTATTCTATTTCTTTGCTGAGGTTTCTTTTTTTTTTTTCACTTGGTTCAAGAGAATTTGCAATTGCTTATTGAATATTTTTTGATGGTTACTCTAGGATGCCTAGATAATTCCAATGACTGGTTCATCTCTGTGTGGGAGTGAGGTGGTTGTCTTTTCTCATGCAAGTTGGGATTTCCTTCTTTCCTTGTATACAATAAGTGATTTTAATCTAGACACTTTGGCTATTGTGTTGTGACACTCTGGTTTCTTTTTTTTTTTTTAATAAAACACTATAGTTTAAAAAATTATTTATTTATTTATTATTTTTTACTATGCTGTGTCTTTGTTGCTGTCCGGGCTTTTTTTTCTAGCTGCGGTGAGTGGGTGCTGCTCCCTGGTTGCCGTGTGCGGGCTTCTCATTGCTGTGGCTCCTCTTGTGGAGCACCAGCTCTACCGTAGTTGCCACGCACTGACTCAGCAGTCGTGGCTCATGGTCTCCAGGGCACGGGCTCAGTAGTTGTGATGCATGGGCTTATGTGCCCTGTGGCATGTGGGATCTTCCCAGCCCAGGGATCAAACCGGAGTCCCCTGCACTGCAAGGCAGATTGTCAACCACGGGACCACCAGGGGAGCCCCTCTGGGTCCTATTTAAATTTTTTACTTTAACGACAGTCCCTTTGTTCGAGTTGAGCTTGCAGGTCCTAGCCTACTTTTGTGGTCGGTGTTTGACAGCCTAATTTTCAGACCCTGTGGTGGTGTTTTGGTCGGCTTGGCCAATCTCCTGCCTCCGGGGCCCCTGCTGGTGCTTGTCGGTTCTAGATGAAGAAGTGAAAGGGGCCTCTCCAGGCTGGGTGCCTTGGAGCCTTTAGGTGGGGAAAGAGAATCCCCAGGGGCAGGGACAAAAACACTTCCTGGGCTGGGTGTTTGTTGTGGCAGAATCCCTGGGCGGTGATTTCCCCTGTAAAGTGGGGTCTCTGGTGAGAGAGGGGAGTCTCAGGCAGGTGGGAAAGTCCTCTGTCTGGCCGTTGTTAGGGAGACATTCAGCGGGTCCTCTTGGCCGTTTCTGTGGGGATTGCCTGGAGCTGCTGGCAGGGCTCCCGTTCAGTTTGGAGGAAGTGAAGGACCACCTGGCTGCCTTCCATTGCTACGGCGGGTGTCGGGAAAGGCCAGGCCTGCCTTACCTTTTCTTAGATGTGGAGTCAGCAGAGGCCTCCTGTGGTCCCTAACTAATTCACCTTTTCTTCTTCCTTCTACCTTTCCAAGGTTCTCCTTTTTTGTCTCTTGAGTTATTTCCAAAGCTTTTGTCATGTTTAGCATGAGGAACTGGGAGAGACAAGCCTATACCATCTTGCCTAGACCAGAGGTCTCTAGATGTGCTTATATAGGCATAAGGTCTCTCTGTAGAAGGGTACACAAGGAATTGTTTTCCCAGGGTAGGGAGCCTGGGGGATATGAGGTAGGAAGGAGACTTTTCTTGCATACCTGTTTATGTACTCTTCCCTGATGGCTCAGATAGTAAAGCATCTGCCTGCAGTGTAGGGGACCTAGGTTTGATCCTTGGGTCAGGGAGGTCCTCTGGAGAAGGGCATGGCAACCCACTCCTGTATTCTTGCCTGGAGAATTCTACAGACAGAGGAGCCTGATGAGCTACAGTTCATGGAGTCACAAAAAGTCTGACACGACTGAGCAACTAACACTTTCATTTTACGTGATCGCATGTTAATCAGGTGAATATATTATGTATTCAAAAACAAGGTAAAATTTCTAGCTCAGTCTTATTCAAGAGCACAACCAAGGATTACAACAGAGGTCAAGCAGCATATAGATTCAACAGTTGGTAATTGTATTAAACTTCACTGACTTTTAATTTCACTGTATTGTCACTGCTTTGATCCAGATCTCTGAATATAAGAATACTATTCTCAGTGGATTTTTCAGCCTGCTCATACATTTTGAATAACTAGCAGAATACAAATATTTAATTTAGTTAGAAGGAGAGACTTTTGGCAGCATACTAGTATCCTAATCAGCTGAAAAAATAATATTTGTATGACATTAAAACAAAATTAATAGGAAGACACTGATTACATGAAGAGACTTTAGGTTGTAATGATTAAACTTGCAAACTACTCAGCATAATTAAGTGCCTTAATTAGGATATGACCTGAAATTTCAGCTTACAAAATAAAGGCAATTAAAAGTCACATTTGTAAAGTGAGCTCTAGAACTTATAGTTAAACATCACTTTTTTTCTCATTTTGGGAAGCATCTTTGTAGGTATTATGCTTATTGTGCATTTACTTTGATTCCTAGTCTCACCCCCAGCACAATGTCTCAGCCCAGAGCCTTAAACGTCAAGTTTAATGACCTTCACCAAGGACATCTACACACAGGAAGCCGAACAGCTTCCAGCCACACTCCTGGGCAGCTCTAGGGTGCAATGAAACAGCAAAGACTTGTCTAGCACATTAAGTGAAGTAAACTAGAAGTTTGATATTGACTTTGATCGAAATATACCATTTCACAGAACTATTTGGGTCCAAATGGCAGTTTTCACAGCTGTCATTTATTTTTCAACATGTGCTTCTTGAAGGCATTTCAGGTCCCACAGCTTACCACATGGTGAAGGTTCTAATCCAAAGTCAAAGAATTTTCCATCAGTAGATAAAAATGGAAAATTCAATAAATTTTGGTGGGCTAGTGATTTAGGAAAAACATAATTTGGAATCCTACCTTCATTTCTCATGCCAAAATAAACTCCGAATGTATCAAAGATTGAATATAAAAGCAAAATTATAAATGTACTAAAAGAAGATAATGGTTAAATATTTTTATAATATTATAGTAGAGAGAGGCTTTTTAACCACAACAGATTATGCAAAAGCCATAAAGGAAATGACTAACAAATTTGCCTACTTAAAGATTTTAAACTTCCATACAGCAAAAAAAAAAAGAAAAAGTTTTCCTAATTCAAAGCCAAATTAAGAAGTGACTGATTAAAATCTGAAATTTTCATTTGTCTTTTGATTCATTTTTCTTCTAAAGGCACAGTTTTATTTTTCAGTAAATTAGGAAATAATTGGAAATATGCATCACCATTTATGTACAAGGACATTAAGTATAGGGTAAATTAAAAGAATTTACATGTTAAAAGATAGCTCATGGGACTTCTCTGGTGGTCCAGTGACTGTCTGCACTCCTAGTGCAGGTCCCAGGTTCAACCCCTGGTCAGGGAACTAGATCCCACATGCCACAACTAAGACCCAATGCAGCCAAATAAATAAGTTAAAATATTTTTTTAATGGCTTGTTAATTAAGTTACAGAATAGCCTAGGCTACAGGCGTTAAAAATCACAATATTAAACGGCACCTATATTCATGATAGATCCTCTTTAAAAAGAAAGCTAATTTGTTGGTGGGAATATAAATTCATATACCACTGTGAAAAACAGTATGGAAATTTCTTAGAAAACTAAAAATAGAACTGCCATATGACCCTGTAATTTCACTGCTGGGTATGTATCCGAAAAAAAAACAAAACCTCTAATTCAAAAAAATACTTGCACCCAGTATAGGGGTGGGAGAGTGGGAGGTACAAACTGCTGAATTTAAGTTAGGCTATATGTATTGTACAACACAGGGAATATCACCAATATGTAGTAACTGTAAATGGGAAGTAATCTTTAAAAACTGTATAAAAATAAAAAATAGAACAGAGAAAAAAATGTTTTTCTAAAATATAAAAGGCATGAATCTGGAAAAAATTTTAAGAATGAAAAAATGCAATAAACTAGTGAATATAACACAAAAGAAGCAGACTCACAGATATAGAGAACAAACTAATGGCTACCAGAGACCAAGAGGGGGGACAATGTAGGGGTTGTATTATCTAGATTTTATTTTAAAGACTGGAAGAAAAATTTCAGTGATCGTCAGGAGAGGTAAAATTATGGATAAATGTTATTATTTTCATTTTTAGTAATTTCAAAATTTTGCAAAACAATTATACTTAATCCTTTTTAAAATTCCTTGATGCTTTTAAGAAAAAGTTATTTCAGTTTTTCCCAAAAACAGCTGAGTTGGAACTAGATCAGATATGAAAGATCAAAATGGAAGACTTGAAAAGCATAGCACAATACAGCAGTTGCAAGAAACCCCGCTTTATGTTTTTAAAATCCTCTGCCATATTTGGTGGTGCTATCTCATGTCAGTTAACCACAACTCCTGGTCATTCGCGGTGTCTGTCTGTCTGTCTGTCTCTAATAACACAGGCCTAGAACACAAGACTACCTTTCCAGCATCACAGGAGAGTTCTTTCATAAAATCAGCATCATCCTTCTATGTTCCCAACTGCTCAGCTGTAGAACAGGGAATGGAACATGAGTTCCAAAGCTCTGATTACCAGGCCTCAGCAGGAAGCTTATGTCTCTGAAACTCACCAATCACAACATAGCTATCACTAGTAGTACAGGAAATGCCATCATTGAACTTCCTCTGTACCTGTAGGTCTTCTTAATTTCTTCATTTGATGCTCCTTTATGCAGACCAAGAATTTCATACAGAGCTTTTCCAGATGTTGACATTGTCCGCTGTCGTTGGTTAGGTATGTTACATGCCATTTTCTCAAACTGCTAAATCAAAGAGGGAGATGGCTGTGAAGGTTATGCATGATCTCTAAAGGGAAGATAGTTTGTTTTTGAAGTCAGCTACAAAAGGAGGGGAGAAAAGGATTAGGAAAGCCAACACTAGAGCTTCAGGTCAGGGTCCCAAGGGCAACATGCAGTCATGCAAATAGAATATGGCTTTGTCCACATGGCTAAATAGAACCAAGATGTTATCTAAATAGCCAGCTAACTTACAATTGTTAAAAACTGATCCTCCCAGGTCAGGCATATGTAGATTTTTTTCTGTCAAGATTTGTTTGGTTAGAATTTGTCCTTTTTAAAATATCTTTTTCAAATGTAGCCAACAACAGAAATAATCATCTACTTTACTTTGACACTATTGGCATAGCCATTGTTAGAGTGTGAGTTCTTGAACAAAAAACTAAAACCCAACATTTTGTAAGTATCAAAAACAAAACAAAACACAACATTCCTAGTCTCATCTGAGAGCCTGGTTAGACCATCTCTGCAACTATGGGGTACCGAGTCTCCCCACAGTGCTCATGAGTTTATATCCAAGATAGCTCCTCTCCCTGTGGTCTATATAGAGGGGTGGTGCTGCCCCATGTCCCATGGAGCCACCTTTGGCTGTGTTCTGCCTGTGGGGGGAAGCACAGAGAAGCAAGCACGCTGGGGCATTCCTGCATCCACCATGTCGTCTTGCCAAACCTAATGTCTTCACTCAGAATACAAGGATAATAAAGCCCACATCATAAGGCTATCTTTTTTTTTTTTTAGTTGGAGGCTAATTACTTTACAATATTGTAGTAGTTTTTGTCATACATTGATATGAATCAGCCATGGATATACATGTATTCCCCATCCTGATCCCCCCTCCCACCTCCCTCTCCACCCGATCCCTCTGGGTCTTCCCAGTGCACCAGGCCCGAGCACTTGTCTCATGCATCCAACCTGGGCTGGTGATCTGTTTCACCCTTGATAATGTACATGTTTCGATGCTGTTCTCTTGAAACATCCCACCCTCGCCTTCTCCCACAGAGTTCAAAAGTCTGTTCTGTACATCTGTGTCTCTTTTTCTGTTTTGCATATAGGGTTATCGTTACCATCTTTCTAAATTCCATATATATGTGTTAGTATGCTGTAATGGTCTTTATCTTTCTGGCTTACTTCACTCTGTATAATGGGCTCCAGTTTCATCCATCTCATTAGAATTGATTCAAATGAATTCTTTTTAATGGCTGAGTAATATTCCATGGTGTATATGTACCATAGCTTCCTTATCCATTCGTCTGCTGATGGACATCTAGGTCGCTTCCATGTCCTGGCTATTATAAACAGTGCTGCGATGAACATTGGGGTGCACGTGTCTCTTTCAGATCTGGTTTCCTCGGTGTGTATGCCCAGAAGTGGGATTGCTGGGTCACATGGCAGTTCTATTTCCAGTTTTTTAAGAAATCTCCACACTGTTTTCCATAGCGGCTGTACTAGTTTGCATTCCCACCAACAGTGTAAGAGGGTTCCCTTTTCTCCACACCCTCTCCAGCATTTATTGCTTGTAGACTTTTGGATAGCAGCCATCCTGACTGGAGTGTAATGGTACCTCATTGTGGTTTTGATTTGCATTTCTCTGATAATGAGTGATGTTGAGCATCTTTTCATGTGTTTTTTAGCCATCTGTATGTCTTCCTTGGAGAAATGTCTGTTTAGTTCGTTGGCCCATTTTTTGATTGGGTCATTTATTTTTCTGGAGTTGAGCTGGAGGTGTTGCTTGTATATTTTTGAGATTAATCCTTTGTCTGTTGCTTCGTTTGCTATTATTTTCTCCCAATCTGAGGGCTGTCTTTTCACCTTGCTTATAGTTTCCTTTGTTGTGCAAAAGCTTTTAAGTTTCATTAGGTCCCATTTGTTTATTTTTGCTTTTGTTTCTAATATTCTGGGATGTGGGTCATAGAGGATCCTGCTGTGATTTATGTCCGAGAGTGTTTTGCCTATGTTCTCCTCTAGGAGTTTTATAGTTTCTGGTCTTACATTTAGATCTTTAATCCATTTTGAGTTTATTTTTGTGTATGGTGTTAGAAAGTGTTCTAGTTTCATTCTTTTACAAGTGGTTAACCAGTTTTCCCAACACCACTTATTAAAGAGGCTGTCTTTTTTCCATTGTATATCCTTGCCTCCTTTGTCGAAGATAAGGTAACCATAGGTTCGTGGATTTATCTCTGGGCTTTCTATTCTGTTCCATTGATCTATATTTCTGTCTTTGTGCCAATACCATACTGTTTTGATGACTGTGGCTTTGTAGTATAGTCTGAAGTCAGGCAGGTTGATTCCTCCAGTTCCATTCTTCTTTCTCAAGATTACTTTGGCTATTCGAGGTTTTTTGTATTTCCATACAAATTGTGAAATTATTTGTTCTAGTTCTGTGAAAAATACCATTGCCATCATAAGGCTATCTTAAGGATTTAGAAATAATTCAGATAATGTACCAAGGACATATTGACTTTAAAGAACTATTTCTATTAAAGGAGGCACAGTGTAGAATTCAGAGTGTGCATGGCATTCTGAATAGGTCTGAATATAGGTCTTGCCATGACCAGCTACATGACTATCCCTATCTATAAATTGGAGACCAAAAAAGTACTTAAATTCATAGAGCTGTTATAAGAATTAAATGAGTTAATGTATTTAAAAGATACCAATGTTCATAGCAGCATTATTCATAAAAGATAAATGAACATGTGGTATATACATACAATGCAATATTATTCAGCTATAAAAAGAAATGAAATTCTGACATATGCTACAATAAAATGAACCTTGAAAACATTAAGTGAAATAAGCCAGTCACAAAAGGACAAATATTGTATATGATTCCCTTATATGAATACCTAGAACAGGCAATGGTAATAGTTAAATATCACAGAGATTTTACTTCATGTCATTGAATTGTGCACTTTAAAATAAAATAGTAAACTTTGTTATATTTTATCCCAAAAACAAAACAAGAAAAAAAAAACAAAACTACTTAGATTGCAAGCTCTTCTGACTAGAAGTTCCTTGAAAATTATCGTCTGTCTTCCGGCTTTGGGCTTTGTGCATCAAGTGCTGTAAGAGTGAATAAATGTGGATGAATGAACGTGCCAGGGCTCAGGAGATGGTGTCAGGGCTGGGGAGACTCTCATGTTCAACACAAGGACCCCCTGGTGACCACAGTGAAGCTGCAGACCCAAACAGGCACATCCCAGGGTGGGCTTGGTTGAAGCCAGCCTTCAAGCTCTGCTCCCACCATACTAGACTGAACCAACACAGAGAAGAACAGAGCCTTCTGGATGTTGCCTGGTGGGTTCCAGTGATCTTAGAGGCCCTTGAGATTCCAACATGGCACAGTGAGCACTTGTGGTCCTAAGTAATTCAATTAAGAACAGTGTGAAGAACTTCAAAATGTGTTTGTGAGCATCTAGCTTCTTGAGAGGAGAAAAGGAAGCCAGTCCTGAAGAAAGTCAGACCTCAGGCAAAAATCCTGTAGACCCCAAGGCACTGAGGAAAAAACTGACTTAACAAGGACAACAACCCAAGGATAAAGCCTCATCTGGTGGCATGACTATGCTGTCTCCTTTCAGTTAGCTGTCCATGCAAGTCGAGCTTCCAGAGGCCAGAGAAGCCCTGGTCCCTAGTGTCTGTACACATAAGGACAAGATGAGGAGAAATTCTAATTTTGCCTGCCACTAAACAAAATCTGGGCTCCCCAGGTGGCACACAGGTGGTAAAGAATCCACCTATCAATGCAGGAGAGGCAAGTTTGATCCCTGTGTAAGGAGGATTCCCTGGAGGAGGAAGTGGCAACCCACTCCAGTATTCTTGCGTGGAGAATCCATGGACAGAGGAGCCTGGCAGGCTATAGTCCAAGGGTTCTCAAAGAATCAGACATGACTAAGCACACACACACAAATAAGCTGATATTCAAACTGACTGGCAGCCATGCAGTAGATCATAGCACATATTCTAGTTATTGTTCCACCTTACCTTTCTCACCTTCCATCACAGTTTCCCTAGAAGATAAATAATTCAGGACTTGGGGCTGGGTCATTCACCCCTGTGTTCCAGATCTGCAGCTCAGCCCTCTCTTGGAACCATAGCCCAGCGGAGTATTCACAATTGAAGGAAAAATTGCCTGACACCCTCCCTACTTCCCTTCCTGTCCCCTCTCTCCTGCTGCCACCTCACATATAAACTCAGGACACTGATACTCTGCCCTACACTTCACCTAACTGCTCCCAGAAATGGAGACAACTGGCAGACAGACTTCTCACAGGTCACACTACTTGCCATAAATGAATGGGATTTGGAAAGTAGAGATTTCTGTGTGACTTGGTGGGCAAGGAATAAACCACAGTAGTTATACTTGTCTCTGAGATTGTAAGATCTCACTGTGTAGCAAGATCCCAAAGTCACTAAGACCATGATTCAAATCCTAAGACCATTGAATATGGAGTTATAGGTCATCTAAGCCAACTTGGATGACCTTAGGTGGTCATCTAATGCAAGAGATGCAAGTTTGATCTCTGTGTCAGGAAGATCTCCTGGGAGGAGGAAATAGCAACCCACTCCAGTATTCTTGCCTGGAGAATCCCCATGGACAGAGGAGCCTGGTGGGCTACAGTCCATGGGGTCACAGAGTTGGACATGACTGAGCGACTAAGCACAGCACAGGACAAGCTGACTTAACAAATGCCTTTTGGGGCCTTCTGACCAGAGATCATTGTAGTCAACTAGGCCAGGAGTAGGTACCTTACCCAAGCCAAGTCAGAGTCCTTCCCTGTTTCTTTTCTTTTCTTTCTTTTTTTTTTTTTTTGGATGTAGAACAATCTCTCATGGTAAAAATCTGTCAAATGTAAATTTGGGGTATTGTTGGCTGGCCTGAAATGAGAGAGATTGAAACAGACCCACAGAGGACAAGCCGTGGCAAGAGACGGAGGTAGAACCTGGATGGGGTTCAGGCACACGTG